GCGTAGCGGTGGTGGCCATCTCAATAAAAAAAGTTTGCCGGGATGAACCAATAAAACTTTTCGTCTCTTTGCGAGGTGATTTGCCTCGCAGTGTACCACCGCCACGGCCCTGCAGGACCGCCGCCGCCCTCATTTCCCGTCCATAACAGCAATGACAGTTTTCTGCCGACAAATCAACACGCGCATTTAATTGACGTGCACTTTATTTTTATTTTTTGGCTTTTCCTTGGTACGGAGAATAAGAAACAAGATAAAAACGCGCTGACGGAAATCGCAAAGTAACCGTTAAGCGCATTTCGCACGACGTAATCGTTTGCTGTTGGTATTGACATCGCACAATGCAGAAATGTTCATTTTCTTCGGTTTAAGTTTACTCAACGTCACACGTTTTTCAAATGGTTCAAGAACACTGGGGGTCAGGGGGTGCTAAAGAAGTTCGCTAAACCTTAGTCCCTGTCAACACGTTGAGTTGTGGCCATACGTGTGGTCATGTGGGACTCAACGTGTTAAAGGTAGGACTTAGCACCTTTTTTTTCTAATCCTATGAATTAACATTATTCGTTTAACTTGAAAAAACATTGAATTTTAAAATGGTTAATCATGTCATCTGCGTGTGAGCAGAATCACTGCTTTGTCGGAGCGAGGGGGAAGGGGAAGGAGAGGGGAGAGATGAGGGTGAGGCTTGTACTTCTTTCCATTCACGAAACACGACACCAAGTAGAACACCCCTTTCCTTCCCAGCACCACCACTGCCCCCGCCACCCACGCCGCCGCGCGTCCAGCAGCACCGCACCATACCGCGCGCGACTGTACTCGGCCTTGTTTTGCATGTCAGCATCGCCTGCTCACCCCTTTCCCTCCCCGTTTGTCTGTCTCTCTCTCTCTCTCTCCCTCTCTCCAAGAAGAGCGACAGAGCGAGAACATAATCAGACTGCACACACACAACTGCACCCCTCCCCCTCCTCCTCCTCCCTCCTCAGTCTGATAGACGCACAAACACTATTTCGATTGCACATTCGCTGACCGCTTGCTTGCCGCTGCTCCGGGCTGCTGCTGCTGCTGCCCGCCCGAACCGAAAAGGGGATCTCATAACTGGTTTTCCATTCGCATCGAATCAAACAAAATAAAAGCCGGTAAACCAGTTGTTAGATTACCGCTGCGCTCATTTCATGCGCTCGCGCACACGCTCTCTCTCTCTCTCTCTCTCTCTCTGCCTGTCTCTCTCTCTCTCACGCGCACGCTCGCGCAACCCTTCTGGCGCGAGCCCGTAGTGTTGACTGTGCGGTGAGCTCTGCTGGAAGGGTTAGGGATACTGCTTTGTAATCAGCCGGATCTGATAGGAGCGATATGAGCAGAAAATTTAATTATTAATCCGCGCTTGCGCACGTGCGTGAGAGAGAGAGAGAAAGAGAGAGAGAGAGAGAGAGAGAGAGAGAGAGAGAGAGAGAGAGAGAGAAGGGTGGGGGGGAGGAGTTGCGTTGCATAGCCCTAAACTGGTCCGAGGCAGACAAATCGAAATAAAAGGCAAGAAAAATATAAGTATCCCTTCTTTTTTTTACAGTAAAAGAATTTATCCGTTAGGCCGTGCAGGCCCAAGCCCGGCTGCTGCATTTGAATCTGAATGTGAATTCCCGCGCCATTATCTCCTTGGCGGATGCAGCGCGACGACGAGCTTCCTCTCTCTCTCACTCTCTCTCTCTCTCACTCTCTCTCTCTCTCTCTCTCTCTCTCTCTCTCTCTCTCTCTCTCTCTGCTGCCGCGGGAGGTCTTCTTCTTGAGCCGGATTGCTATTGCAGTTCGCTCCGTCACCGGAGCCGAGCCGAGCAGCTGCCACCCGAGCGAGAACCAAAGCCCGCCGTCTCGCGGATTAGCACGCGGGGGCCCTTAATCCTAATCCCAATGTAAATCAGGTTCACTGATTTCCGGCGGCCCAGCAGGCGCCAAAACTCCACGGGGAAAAAAGAATTGACTCAAATAGCTAATTCGGCGTATGTTTAGGATATTAACTTGCTTCTAGCTAATTATTAGCTGAGGCAGCGAGAAAATTAGCGACTGCAGTTATCTATAAAAAGAAAGGAACATAGATATGAAGGTCAATAACTGAGCGCTGTGGGCTAACAATCAGCTAAAATTCTCAGTTAGAGTAACAAACTAGCTATTTTGGCTTTAAAAAATCGTGCGAACAAATAATTACAGGAGGTTGTGTTGCTTCGGTTGCACCTTATCTCGGCCTTCCACCTCCCCTCTAGGCCAGCGTGAACGCGCTCGCAAGCAAAAAGTTTTAGTTAGAAGGGGGGCAGATGGAT